TAAGGAAATGTATTTTAAATTTATTTGCATCAATGCATTTTAAATCAATTATTAAAATATGAGTTCATGTTATTAATTATTACTATAAACGTGTCTTAACATAACATTTAATATTATTTCACTATGAACTTATGTTAATTTTTTGTTGGAACATAATATCTACTTTGAAATTAAAAAAAAAATATTTATGTATATCTAAACAGCTATACAAACATATCATTTTGATGTAAATAAATATGTTGCGTAAACAATGGGTCCTCCATACCGCGCTTGGCCGATTCGCCCAAAGTCACAACGTGCGTCACGAGCGATCTTGACATAATACCCACCCATAGCGCTCAAATTCTTATACAAACTCGCTTTTGTTGTAAAATTATCGGTATAACAAGATTCAAAATTATAACAGCTCGTGGTTAGCCGGGAGCACATCTACACAGAAGTGTTTGCACAGGGTTGCTCTGAATCCGACTCTGTATGTAACAGTCATTTGTATTGTTTTGTAAAAAATTGCGAGCCACCATAAACTTTGTGTAGAATAGCACTTGTGTATTTTGTAATTTAGTACACTATTAATAATGATTTATTTAATCGAATTAACATTGATCTATCGCACGAATTCGAAGTAACAAAATTGTCGGGCTACTCATTTTGTTGCACCTTGTTTAAGTTTTATCACAAGCACATAAAATATTCGTTGTCATTTAATTTTTGACCGACTTCCCAAAAGAGGGAGGTATTCAATTCGTCGATATGTTTTTTTTTAATACCATATTTAAGTTAGCACGTACCACAGCGACCAGATTCAGATAAATTTTGAGGTTAACAACACCACTATTTTTATAGAACCGACCTCAATGGCGTTAACAACAATTCAAATGTCACTAACCTTAAACATTGCGTATTGATTTTATTCGTTTCACACTTCACAAAGATTAATATTTTCTTTTTATAAAAAAAGGCATATACACCTGCGGATCATAGGAATATGATAAGAATTTCTTTAAGCAAGACATAGGGCCGCGTTCTAGTTAAATTTGTACAAAAACAAATAAACTACTAGAATCCTCTCAATTAACTATTAGACTATATATACGTTTGTTATCTTTCTCGATATATGAAAATCACACAACTTGCATATCTATGACGTCATAGTAACCGACTACAGACATAACAGTCAGCAAATCACGCAGAGAGGTAATGTTTGGTGGTTATTAAATCAAATTCTAAGCAATCAATTTAATGTAGAAGGAACGAGGGCAATTGTGGGATCAAGATGTGGTTGTACGATCACGGTGTGGCGGCGTGGCCATATGGAGCCACCAATTGACTGACGCTCGAGATTCCAATCTAAGATACTTACTCTGATGTTATGCACACGGTACTTGCATTACACAATAAATAAAATTAACTTTTAAAGTTGTACCGATAAAGCAAAAGGAAGAAGAAACCAAAGATAGTATGGATCGTATATGTGAAACAGGATACATGTAAGAAGAGAATTCAAATGATCCCCAGGAAAGATGACGATCGTTATGATTGCATCATCATAAAATCAACGCCACTTCCCTATCCTGGATGCATGCGAGAGCGGTCACGTAGTCCAATATTAAGCGCAAGGAATATTGTAAGGTTTTTGTCCTATATAATCCGAACTTGACTCCTTAATGGCGGAAATGTAGGCATTTCTAGGTACTATAAGTCAGTTATGATACAAAGTTTTATTGAAGAAATCCGGTGTGTACTTTCCACATCCTTATAGTTTTGTTTCAAATCGTGATTTGTCATTTCTATCAAAATAAAATATCTACTTAAGAATAATAGGTTACTAGCCTATTTGATTTTGAGCCGCTCTGACATCAAGTTTGAGCTTAGGCCGTAATCTTCAGTTCAGTATACATATAAACTAGTATAGTATTTCATTACCTCTGACAAGAATGTCATAATCTTTATCAGTCTATATCTGCCCACTGTTGGACATAGATCTTCAATTACTTCACAGAATGCGATCCTCCGCTTGTCGCATCCTTCGTCATCCCGCCATGCGCACTATATCTTTACTTCTATCAACACAAATTACTTCCTTCGAAATATAGACGACGGCCATATTAACAATACTTGTAAATTACTTTAAAACACAAAATTAACTCTAAGGCGACAACGTCAAGATATTGAACGTTCCGTGGTGACGAATAGAAAAATTCTGAGCTTGTTGTCGACCGAGGACTGAGGCTGCGACTAAGCCTGAGCCACTCCTTATCAAGTATTTTATAAAAAAAACTACCCCCACTATGCCTTACGTGTTCTAATATTTTCCACACAATACTATTGTTTTAAATAAAGATGAATAGTTCAGATTAAGAAATAACTTTTAAGAATACAGAATATATCAAAATAGTTAAAAAGCTAACAACGATAAGATTGCAAAGAGGAAACATTTGTATTTTTCTATGTATCATAACTGAAAAACTACTGTGTTGATTTCAAAAATTCATTCACCGTTAGAAAGGTAATTTATCTGTGAGTGATATAAGATACATTTTTAATTTCACCCGAAATAAGTCTCGAGCAATATTTAGTAAACGATAGATTAAAAGGTTAACTACTTGCCACAATGTAAGACACGTCAATATTCTCTGTAGCTTATCTGCGTTGATTCATACCAATTTGGAATTATATGAAACGTTTATAATTATTTCAAACTAAATCATCGTCAATGTTTCGTCATAAGTGTCATGTATCACTTCTTAAGCGTCACAGATTTACGGTTTGAGGAATTCGCATAACCAGTGTAGATTAACTATACCTTTTATTGAAGGAAAAATTGTAAAATAAATACGTATTTTTTCAATAAAATTCCATATAAAAAAGCGCGTGGATTTTTTTTGTCTGTTAACAGCACAAAACATTAACACAATGACAATGTTTTCATTACTAATTCTTCAACAAACTACAACTATTTGTTGTAACTTGTTGAAGAATTAACTTCCTCCCGGTTGATGGTTGATACAAGGCATTTTATCGCAATCCTGTAAAGTTACATTTTAAATTCCTTGCTGAGTGATATCCGTGAGTTCGTGTGTTTGCGTCAATGAGTCCAATTTCAAAGTTAATCTCTCAAGTTCAAGACAATTTTAATTATGTGTTACGTCCTTGTATTATCCTTCGTTTTTCCAAATTAGTCTATATTTTATTTTTCTTTTTAAGTTCTTGTTTTAAATTCCATCAACTTTTAAAATTAATTTAAAACTAAATTGATTTGGAAAAAAATTGAAAATATTTCTTTGAAGTACTTACCAGGTTTAATAGAATTTAAATTATTTATATACAGAAGATAGGAGAAGAATAACTATATATGAAAATATACAAATTACTCTGGAAAATAAGTAAACAAAAAAGTGTCAATTGTAAACGTATGTAATGTAGGGATATTAATTTAACCGCTGCAATTAATACGTCGCCCACCTAACCAGTCCGGTATTCCACCAATCCGCGGAGTTCGTGCAAGAACCGCACTTGCTGACGTCACATCTAGCTTTGCGGTTTCAACTGAGTCAGAACAGCAGATTATTATGTTTTATATTAGCGTTCCGTTCTTCGCAATGGTCAGTACTGTGTAGACTGTCATTTGCTAATATCGTACGTCTGTACTGTTTGTACTTTTGTTTTGGTGAAAGTGTTTGTTTATTTTTAATTTTGATTTGTGATAATCTGTGATCATGTTGTCAGGAGGAAATATTTGCTTTCACATCGATGATTTTGTGGATGTTGTTTTTTGGGTTTATGTATCTCATAACAATAAGGTATGCTGTATTTTATTATTTCCACTTTTTAATTGATTGTTTTTGTTAAAAATGTAGGTATTTTATATTTTAATAGGGCTGTCAACTAAAAGATGCCATTAACAATTTTATAACATTCGTATTTTATAGTATATCTGCTCTTAATCTTTAAGAATATAAAGAGATCATAAAAATAACATTTCGAAGTTATTTGCAAGTTATTTTCTAATGTGTTAAGTCATCACTATCTAAGTTTAAGTAAATAAAAAATCGAACTTCAATCATCTTTCTATTACTTAGGTATGATTACTTTGAACATAAAAATAACATTGACGAAGAATTGCTTAGTTGTTTGTTCTTGTTAATTAAATAGCATTAAATTGTTTCACCATTAAGCAGTGTAATTATTGAGGAAAAAGTTTTTAAACAACGATGAGTATTTTAAAAGACGTAATGCTGTGCTTAAAATCAATGTATGCCTTTAAAAGGTTAAAAAGTATTATTGAAATGTTAATTATTTGTAATTAAAATAATGCAAAAAAATTATTAAAGGTTGTAACTTTGTTGGAAAATATCGTATTTTACGTATTCTCTACGTCATTGCAGAAAAACTTCTACTAAGGTAATGTTAAAGCAAAACCCCAACGTAATTAATAAACCACTAATGTGAATGTTTATGGAATAAACGTAATGTAACATCAAGAGGAAACATTCCTCATATGTTAGTCTCTTAACGAATTTCCAGGATTTGTTTATCATTACGAAGCAATTTTTAATTGAAGTAATTTTTTATTGCAATTTTCCCTTTATTATCAATATAGTAGTTATATTCTGTAATTCTGTAAACTCATTAATTTACGAACGTCATTGACTCTGCGTTTAACTTTCCGTACAATCTAAGAGTCCTGGTTCGACGCCCATTACCTTTAAATTTTCGTTTTTATATGTACATCCATACAGTAAAGAAAACATCGCGATGTAATCTGCCATATATGAAATTCAGTGATCTGTGAAGCCATAACCCACACTGGGCCGGTATGGTGGGATGGCTTAGTCCTTCCTAACTTAGGTTCCTAACCCTTTGGTTGATAAGCTAAAGACTAGATACGTTACTTAGTTTTCTTTTAACTAGTTAATATAATTCCATTATTTTTATTAGGGTTATCCGTGAAGGGATACAGTTTGTACTAAAGATTTTAATATGTTTCTTGTCTTTTCCAGCAGTCCGAAAGATGGCGTAAGCTCCGCAATATCGTGCAGTGGACGCCATTCTTCCAGACGTACAAGAAGCAGAGGTACCCATGGATACAACTTGCCGGTCATCAAGGAAACTTTAAGGCCGGGCCTGACCAAGGGACTATTCTAAAGAAACTCTGCCCTCAGGAAGAAAGATGTTTTAAGGTATTATTTTTTTCATTAAAATCTCTAATACTCTTCCTTTCGTTATAATTAATGATGGGAAGAGGAAGTAATATAGAAAAAGATGACGTGCTTATCGCCTCGCTTTTTTAAAGTGAGGCAACGACAATCGACTATTAAACTGATAGAAGATTGGTATGGGCAACAATCATTACTGAAGTAAGAAACATTGATATTTTTTTTTGTTTTAAAATTGCACTGAAAACTGAAGGCGAAAAGGGATTCTATGCGTTTAACGAAGGAAGACGCGTTTAGACTACTATTGCTTACGTCAAACAAGACCTAGAGATTCACCTTGCGGTTTACAGTTAACATTGTATCCTGAATAAAAAAAATATATCGACTTTTAATCATTCAACAGTGACGTCAATGTTCGCGGTTTTAAAATTTCTCTGTAATACATTTTTTAATTCTGGAAATTTCTACGATCATCGGGTATTTTGCAAATGTTATATTAACAAAAAGTGATTGACAGCTGGGTTTTACCGACAGGCAAAGTGCGTTAATATTCTCGTTGTTTTAAAAGCAAGCAAGACATATTGAGAGAGGAAATTAATTTGTCTCCCATCAAAAAAAAGTATCACGTCGGGTTAACTTTAACTTATACTGTATCCGGATCTGTTTACTGCTATGTGAATGAAAAATAAATTTAAACTATACAATGAAATCAAATAATAATATGATTATTTAAACGAAGTCCGCAAATTCGTAAAATGCATTATTAAAAAGTGTTGACGCAAATATTATGACTTTTCCTGATACATATTAAATTTCACAATGTAAGCGGTATAAAATTCTACACTACTTATTCGTGTATTGACGTCAATCGAAGACACGAGCACGTATATCTTATATCCAAGTCCTAAAATGCGTCACATTTTAAGCAAAAAGTCAGTTTTACAATGAAACAAATTAAACTTTTTAAAAAAACTTCATTAATTTAGTCAACATTACAGATAAACATGTAAATGAAAAGATTAAATAAAGTTTTAATAATTAGTTAAAAGCCAAATTAATTTGTACACATCTTTTATCACGTTTCTATTTGAAAAACAATATTTAAATATCAAGTAAAGATTTGAAATTTGATGTCAATTCAATTTCACGCTAGAGTTCAAATCTGGACGCTCGGAAGTTCTCCCGATAAGGCAAATAAACACAAACCGTCCATTTAACGAAGTCATTTATAGTCCTTTAATCGTACTTTCTAATGGATACACGATTATAGAATTTAGATCTACAGATGACTATAGATAGAATCTTACAAAAAGAACATTCTTAAAATCGTTGTATCAAATTCTGATTGGTCCTAAATAGCTACTAGACGGAAGAACCCTGGCTCCTACTAGATGGGCCTAGAGAATAGTGTAGAAACCAGGCCCTCAACCACTATCTTATATCAACAAAATTATAATCACTTATAAATAAATCTTCAAATTAAAAAACATTTTATTTCGTAATTACCAATTGGTAATTGAAATTGAGTAATTACCGAAATATTTCACAATTTTGAATGAACTTAAAATGTAAATTATTGAAGTTACAATACGGGTGAGGCTCAGATGTCACGACAGGGTCAGATTTGATATCGACTCATATTGAAATCGCCATTGTTTTACACCGCCTTGCTATCTGACGCATCCATTACGTACACACTGACACACCTTCCGTCATTAATTACACATAAAAATTCTATTTGCCTTTTTTAATCGATCACTCTATTGATTGTAGAATGACGCACGTGTAAGTGAATTATTCAGTTTTAATTACACACTGTAATGAAAAAACATGAACTCACATGAGTGTAAAAATTTAAATCGATCAATAACTTTTAAACGAATACAATTAATTAAGATAAATGCTATGCTTTTTAATGCTTTGCAATAATTTTACACCGTATACTTTTTAGGACTACTCCAGAGAGTAAAAGTCTTTTATTAAGATACTAGCTTTAGCCCGCGACTCCTTCCGGGTGGATATAAAAAAAGCAGTTTAGGCTACAAACTCTAAAAAACATCCAACCATCTAAAATTTCACATTTATAATATTAGTATGATGTAAAACATATCATAATGCGTTTAACCTAATAAAATGATATGACTATTAAAGTTGGGTTACAAATATTTGAAAGATTGTTGTTTCTTGTTGACGGTTGAAGCTTTATTACTTTTGTTTCCTTGGAACTGATGGGGTTTACAACATTTTGCAACACTCATAGGTCGAAGTTACGTACTTACGTTCCTCTAGTTCCGTAGTTAAGAATAATTTCTTACCACTGATATAAATGTTTAATCGATTGCGATATAAGTTGACGATGTCGGTCTTCGCATTAATAAAAAGCTAAGCTAGCCATGTCTGTATTTTTAATTGAATTAGTGTTGATTAATTCAACTTGTAAAATGAGAGCGTCTATTTACTTACGTATAATATACCTATTTGTTGATGAAAATCCGTTTTATCTACACAACGTAAGGTCAACGAATTCATTCGGAGTATGACGTAAATAAAATTGTGTACAAGTTTAAGAATTGTTGATGAAATGGAATACTTATAAAATTTGCATAATTTTCGTTGGATATTTTTTAATTTTATATTTTATTAAATTCACAAAATGTTCTGTTTTGTTTACAGTTGCTGATGAAAGACATCCTCCGGCCGTTTGTTCCTGAATATAAGGGACAAGTGACTTGCGAAGATGGAGAATGTATCCTTTTTCATACAAATACTAGCTGCTCCCGTGCGGCTTCATCCGCATGGAAATTTGAACATTTTATTTCATTGTTTTCATTTGTTAAATTATCAATAGCAAATGTCAAAATGACATGACATTGCAAACCTTGACAATCTTGCTTGATGTTGGCAGCAACTTATGGTCTCTTTCCCACTTTAAGGTTTTCATCCAAAATATTTACTCCCTAAGTTTAATGGCGCGCAAATGTATACCCTAAAGCATTACGTAAGTGTAGGGCTTCGCATTAAAGAAATAATTATTCAAAAATATGCTGTAATTGCTGACATCTTAGGCAACAAAGAAGTGTGTGTTTATGCTTTATTATAATAGTATAGATTATAAAAAAAAATGTCTATAGATGCCCTTCAACTCAGCATTTTAACTCATTTTTAGTTAAATATATTCAGTTTAATTTTTTAATCGGAATGCATGTTATATTTATGTTATTTTCAAATCAATTCTCCTTAACTAGTATTTCCAAACAGTGTATCTCCAACTTCAAGACCTCCTCAGTGATTTCGATTCGCCGTGCGTTATGGATTGCAAGATTGGAGTTAGGACGTACTTAGAGGAAGAGCTTGCAAAAGCTAAAGAGAAAACCAAATTGAGAAAAGTAAGTAACCTCACACAAATATGGATCTTAACTTAAGATGATTTAACATAGAATATCCCTTTAAGTTACTAACAAATATTTACATTTTTGTTTTTACGTTTTATTGTCAGATTTTGAATTTTTTAGTATATTTTGTTAGTGTTTTTGTAGTATAAGTGTAAATATGTAAACAAAAAATGTAATCATAAGGGAAATAAAGCTATCTTTATCTTTATCTTATCCCTTTAAGTTGCTTGCAATACTTCTTATTAATGTGAATAAATTTTGGCAAAAAGTCGCTAAAAATAAACAGATCATATTTATAGTTAGTCGAGTTATTTTTAGTCCTTTATTACATTCAAGAGCTGATAAGGACGAAAATAATATTACAACAGCTGTTTACTATTTTAATGTACTGTTATAAGCTGGGAAATTCAGGTCAAGTTAATCATACAAGCAACTATTCGATAACATTGCGAACTATTTACTGTTTAAGATTGGATGAAAACATTTTATATTATCTCCATATTAACACTTTGACGTAAATAGAGACAGGAATAGTACATATCAAGCAATAAACAGTTTATCTACATTAATACAGATATAATGATCTATTTGTTAAGTTGTAGTGTAGCTTTATAAATGTTAAAAAATCTTCCTTAACTTAACACGACTTTGAAATCAAAATAGATTCTAATGAGAAATCAAATGTACTAAAAGAAAAATAACTAATTTTACAGGACATGTATGAAAAAATGATACAAGTCGACCCCAAAGCGCCAACGGAAGAAGAACACAGAAGTAAAGGAGTAACGAAGCCGAGATACATGATTTGGAGGGAGACTATCAGTTCCACATCAACTCTTGGCTTCAGAATAGACGGTGTCAAGAAAGCTGATGGAACTAGTTCGAAAGACTTCAAAACTACGAAGACGAGGGATCAAATATTAGAAGCGTTTCAAGATTTTACAAATAGTTTTCCAAACGCTGTGGTAAGTAGTAATACGATTTAAAACTTCTGCCCAATAATTCCATATAAGTTTTAATATTTAATTTACTGTAGTGTTATATTTGGTAATTAAGTAATTTCTCTTTCCTTTCAACAGCCGAGGTATTTAGAAAGGTTGAAAAACATCCGAGCGACTCTCATTGAATCACACTTCTTCAAGACTCACGAACTGATCGGGAGTTCGTTGCTCTTCGTCCACGACAAGAGGAAAGCATCCATTTGGATGATAGACTTCGCGAAGACCGTTCCTGTACCTGATAATGTGACCATCGATCACAACTCAGTATGGAAGGTCGGCAACCATGAAGATGGATACCTAATCGGTATAAATAACCTAATATCAATCTTCGAGTCCCTCACGAAAGATGACAATGGAAACATAGATCAGTGCTATTCAAACTTAAGTTTAGATAAAAACGTTAGAAGAGACAGTTTAGCTACTTGAAACTTGAACACGTTCGACGTTGTGTGAATTGTGTTATCGATTAGCAGTAGCGGGTTCTACTGTTTGAGGACAGGTGACTAAACGGATTGCATCGAAGCGGTCGCATGTTGTAAATATCGTAAGACAGTTGTCTTGTTGTAAAAAGATTTAGTTAAGTTGACATAGTATACCTTTTTGTATTAACAATAAGTGTTAAAATACTCACTTTAAGGAGTAGCTTAAGGACCTGTAACTTAATTATCTTAAATGCATAGTTATGTGAAATGAACAAATCATTGCTTTAAATTTAACTTTAAATACGTAAACAATGCAGAAAAGTCTTACAATTTCAATTATGAATTGCGTTTTGTTGTTTGGCTTCTTATTATAATATACGTCCTAAATTTATAAGAAGCTGAATTCATTACTGAATGATGAAGTTGGATAACCTCTAAGAATATAATTTCAATAAATTTGAAAACGATGTAACAATTTTTGTTTTTAATATTTTATTCAGCAAATGTAATTGTTTTGGATCGTGTTTGATATTTTTAATTCTGGTAATGTTATGTTGAAACCAATTGTATTCATAAAATATAAATATACATATCTATCCTTAAATAATATGTTAAGTTGTTTGATTACATTTCTAAAGATAAAATAGACTGTAAAATGACTTCTGATGAACTTTGTTCAAATACCGCGTTATATTTATTATGTACACTATATTAGTGTAAAGACTAGATACAGCTTTTCTGAAAGTTGTACATAAGGCTAAATTTATCAGGAAGTACTAATTAAAACATATCACATACCATTTGTGTTTTACTTACAATAATATTAATAAATAAGTATATTAAATAACATTTTTAAATTGTACTAAAATTACAACCTCTGATCATTCATCTGATTGACAACACGACACATTCTCACAAAGTAACAGGCAATTATTGCATAATTTTGGAATGTTAGAATGCAACTATTTATGGACGGCTTGGTACTAAATTTAGAACTTAAATACTACTTAATAGTAAAATTGCACTAAAAAGGCACGTATTTAAGATTATGTTTTATCTTTACTCGTACTACTACCACCACTATCAATTACAATATCTGTTAAACTCCCTCGCCTTGAACTAGAATCTGGGCTGGAGCCACTTTCTTTACGTATTCTAGAGAAAAGTCTTGGCACGGGACCACTCGATCGGCTTAAATCATTTGGAGCCGGTGAGTATCTCCGAGTCCTTGGTTGTTGAGGTTCCTCTTCTGGTGTATTTTCCGTGTACGGTGGCGGAGGTTGATTTAACATAGTCATTCTGTTTTCCCTTGCCGCTTTTGCTGTAATTTGTAATTCTGCGCCAGCAACTACAGTAGCGAGGGTCGGTGTAAATTGGGGAGCGGCAGCTCTTGCTGACACCCTTCTTCTCCTTGGTCCTGTTACATCTTCCGTTTCGAATCTACTAGGTAGCTGGGGTAGAGAAAAGTCAGGTCTTATAGATCCACGTCTTCTACTTTGTCCATTATCAGATGCTTCGATTGTGCCAATTGTATTGTTAGCTACTTGAGAAGCAGTCTCTAAAGCAGCTAAAGCTCGAAGTAGGTCTGCTACACTTGTCTGTTCCAAGACTTCTACTTGTGCTGATTCTGAGAGAGTAGACAAATCTATATCAGGATCAAATAAGCTTGGACGACCACGTCTAGTCATGTGTCTGTATTCGTCTATATCACCAGAAAATAGACTCCTGCGGCCACCTTCGGTAGCATTTCTATAACTTTGTATGTCGCCTGCAAATAAGCTATTTCTACCTGTTTTTGTTTGGTTTTGGTATTGTTTTATACTGGTTTCAAGATCACTGGTACTACCACATGGAGAGCTAATTTTCCGGTCTTTACCAAATGTAGGGAACAAACTGCTTCGTCCTCGACGCGTTTTCTCCTTATAGTTCACTAATTCATCTGAACTTTCTGGAAGTGTATCATCGTCATCTTTCTTTGATTTTCCAAATGTAGGAAATAGGCTAAGACGACCTTTTCGAGTTCTATTATGATATTTCTGAATTTCCTCTTCATCGACCGTATCCTCTTCATCGTTACTTGTGGGGTTACTAAAATCAAAAGTTGGAAATATGCTGTGTCTGTCTCGTTTGGTTCCTTCTTTGTATCGTTTAGCATCTTCATCAAGATTGCTAAAATCGAACGTAGGAAATATACTACGCCTGCCCGAGTTCGTTCTCTCTTTGTAATCATTCAAAGCGGAAGTATTTTCATCTTCACTAAAATCAAACGTAGGAAAAATACTATGCCTTTTAGGTTTATGTTGATAGGCTTTGGCTGCAGCCATATCTTCATCTTCAGAAAAGTCAAAGGTTGGAAATATGCTATGTCGGCCTCGTTTAGTCTTTTCTTTATAAGCTTTTGCTTCATCGTCTTCATCTTTGTTAAAATCAAACATCTGGAATATGCTATATCTGCCTCGTTTTGTTTTTTCTTTATACGAGTTTTCATCACTTTTTTGTTCTTGAGAGGAATCGCCAAGTCCAAATGATGGGAACATGCTGCCGCGTCTAGTTTTTTCTTGAACGTTGTCGCCAGAACCTTGTGCTAGACTGACTCTACCCTTCATAGTATTTTTAATATATTCTGCAGGACTTTCGTGTGCGCTTGGTTTTCTAAATAGTCTTGAGAATAAACTTTTTGATGGCTGCATTTTATCGGTAGCTGGAGAATCAATATTGGTAGGAAGCGACAGCTTTCCGCTTCTCAAATTGGCCTCTTTTCTGTATTTCTCTGCGGTATCACCATTTGTCCAAGTGTAATCATGATCTAATTTAGACACTGATTCTTTTCTATAATTCGGTACAGCAACACTTAGCGCTCTTGTTCTTTTTGGTGAACTAGATATTATATCTTGTCCTATGCTGAATAAAGGCGGGTTTTCAGTTGCCAGTATATGATCATCATCAAACATATGTATGCCTCTTTCTTGCTGTGCTTCAAATCCCCCTAAAACATTAACAACTCTCGCTAATAACTCAGCTGGTTTGACTAAAGCAGAAGCTGTAAATGTTTTCTCCTTATCAATTCCAAGTAAATCTGTATCTGATTGAATTCGAAGCATGTCTTTCGCTGAAAGCGCAATATTTTCGGAATTTGCACGTTTTCTTTTTACGATCGGCCCTCTAGGTTCTACGTCGAAAGTAAGTATCGGGCAACTTGCGCTTCTATGAAGTTGGGGTGCTGCCTCGACGTATACTGGCTGGAAATAACAAGAGGAATATTTAGTACAATGTAATTGATTAATAAACATATTGTGGGTTATCGATTCCGTATACACCAAAGGATATTTGACTAGTGGCCAAAATACAAACTAAAACATAATAGCTCACTAGCGCCTTTTGTTCAATGTCAAAAAATTGTCCCCGTATCCTTTTTGTACTGTAGTTATCATGTCATGTTTTCATTGTAAGCCTTTTTTTATGCTCATGTAGGTTTTACATATTTACTTACAGAATTAACCACGATAGCAGCGCATCTCTCGCCGGCCCAGATATCCTTGTTTATCTATACCATTTTACTAAAAACTTATTTAATAACTATGTATTAGTAGTTATCTCACCTTTAACTTTAATAGATTTGCTTCATTGATGATCTTTCTTATATTAGCCATGTCTTTTGTAAAGCCTTGAAATATTTTACTCTGGGTCGATTTCAACTGGTATGCCAATTTTTGTTCCAATTTGTGTATTCGTTCTGATCTCATGCCGCTGGTAATAAATCCCAGTAACATGACAATGTATCCCAAGCCAAAGGTGATCCAGATTATGAGGAATATCTGGTATGTGAAGAAGTAGCCATACTTGAAGCCGTTGTTGATAGTTCCTGAAGAGAGTTAGGAGATAACACTTTAATAAATTACTCAAAAACACAAGTTAATGCACAGTTTGAAAGAAGATTTTTAAAAATAACTACATCACATTACACGAACCTGCGACTAAATCTCCAAACCCTATTGTAGTCAGTGTGACGAATGCATAGTAGACAGCGGCCACGTAGTCCCATCCTTCAAATACCACAAAGATGCAGGCAGGCAAAAATATAAAGAACAGAAAACCAGGAATTAAATAAAGCATGATTTGTCCCAGCATGCCGAGGTTATTAAAGAAGTAGTCCAAATTATCAGCTCGTTTCTCATTTCTCTTCTTGTATTTCCGATAAGTTGATATGAGCTGAAAATTAAAAAGTAGAAATATAAAAACGAATTCTAGTTACAAAATTACTTATAATGACCTTATAAGCAAAACTTGAATATTTAATTGCTATTTAATTTCTAAAGGCTGTTTTAATTTTAAATAGTTATTCATTGCTATATAATAAACAAAAGGCGTTTAACCAACCTGTAGCCCAAAATATTCGCCAAGATTCGCTAAAAGGATACCATTGATCGGTATACCAAAGAGACCGTAGAATATCATCAGGATTCGCGACAAATGTGTTGTTGGCGCTAAATTACCGTATCCTGAAATAAATAAAAAATTTACTTATATCTCGTGTTAAAAGAAAATACAGATCAACCATGTATCAGGTGTTACAATGATGTATCTTCTTACATAAGTATCTTTAGTTTTCTAGTTACTTTTATTACATTTGCTAATATTGTTGGTTATCATTTAGTATTAGTAGAGGCGCTAGTTCTTCCACGGGTCCACTTTAAGCAAATAAATTTGAAACGCAAATTTTTATCATCCAGAAAGGAAGAATAATGACCTTCTTCCTTTCTTTCTTTCAATTATAACGTATTGATGTCCCTTTCGTTCTTTTTCACTAAAAAGAGACTACAATAGTATTAATGTATCATAGAAGGCGACAGCAACAGTAAAAGAAAAAATCTTACCTATAGTACTAACGACTGTGTACGAGAAAAAGAATGAATGGTAGAAGTCCCATTTGAAAGGTGGCTCCTCGTCTTCTGTGGTGTAGTTGAACATAGACTTGCCGCAATAGTCCGACAGCTTCCGCAGTATACTGTCCTGTTTATCGGGATCGTTGGGGATGTAGTTCTCGTAAAGAAGATCTGGAATAATACGCAGAGGTTGCTAAAATACTGGCAGTCAAATTTCATGTATCCTTTTTAAAGTGTTGAAAAAAATAAATAGGAAAATAATTAATAAATAACAAAGTTATTTAGTTTTAATCGAAAGCATTACAGTTATTTGATTCGATCAGGAAAAATTCGAGCGGTGACATTGTGGTCAATGTCATATTTGCGGTTTTCATTTACAAAATTGACAATGGAACTGTCGCACATCTCCGCATTTACTTTTTCGTGAGTATCTCGTTAAACAAAGTACGGCAATAATTGTGGAATCACGACGAACTAACTGTGAGGGCGTTAATTAGTACAAATTGCTTTTTTACAAACGTCAATTTTATGGTCGAACCAACACAAATTGGAATGACATTTTTTTGTGATATCTTTCTATCCCAATAATCAAATAAATTCGAGATATTTTCAATAACTCGACATCTTATGCATTTTCAAAAAAGTTTTAATTTTAAAATGCATGATAAGAAATAAATTATTAATTTCTTATTACTTCCATTGTCTTTAAAAAATGCATAGGTCATAGAACATAAATTACGTAGATTTTATCATATGTTTTTAATATTTTGCAAAATATCAAAATACGCGTACAATTTAAATTTAAATTCGATCAAGATTAGTCATACGTCTGAGCTGTAAAACTTCGTAATAAATTTTCATGTGTTAAAAACTGTAATAAACTAATGGACGATCAGTTTTATTGATTTTTAATTG